GCGCGGCCCCGCCAGGGGCGACCAGGGGCGCGGCAGACGCAGAGCACCGCCCGAGGACGGAAGTCGCGAGCGACAGTAGGATCCGGCGAGGCCGGGGGAGTGGCCCCCTTCCCAGCAGGCAGCTGTCTTGGCCCAAAGACGCCAGTTGGTCGCCACGCGCGGCGAGAGTCCGCGGCCAGTCGGGCTTCGCGCGTCCAGAGGCCGGCCGTTCCCGCCGCGGGTTTCAGCGGCGCGGCGCGCGAATCCAGCCAGCGAACTAGGCCGGCGACGCACTCGACAAGTCGCGCGAGCTTGGGAATTGGCGCCCGAGGCGCTTCCGACGAAGGCGGCCCACGACGAGGCACCCCGTGACCCGGCGCCTAGGAGGAGCGCGCCCAGTCAGGCACTGTCCTTATCCAGCTCAGGTCTGTTTGCTTGCCAGACAGCTCGCGATTCCCGGCGGACGGAAACGCCGTTGGGCCGTCATGTTTTGCCTTTCCTGGACGGCGGCGGAGAGCGGACGCCGCCCGCTGGCGCCGACTTTGCACGCCATCATCAGCGGGGCCCAGCACCCACAAGCCATCGAGAATTCCGCCTCATGGGCGCGCTTCGATTCACCGCGCAGCCCGCGCAATCAGTGCGATCTTTCTTGGAGCGGGAGACAGAACGCGATGACGACCACAGATACAAGCGCCGCCTACCAGCGGCCCCGGCCGTCGCCGCGAGTGGATCTGCCGGTCGCCGATGGCATCTCGCGACAAGCGAAATCGGCGAATGGGGGTTCTCACTTGCTTCCCGGCGCCATTTGGAGGACACTGCGGGTTCTCCGAATTTGCTCGGTCGTCGGCGACGGGGAGTTGCTCTGGCCACGCGGCCGCGCTTGAATGAGCGAGCTCGCCGTTGCGCCCCCTTCCAGCGGCGGCCTGCGACGCGACGGCGGACAGCGGCATGGCGGTGGAGGCCGCGGACGGCCGGGCCAGGCATCCCCGCGCGACAGAGCCGCTTCTCCAGGCCGTCCGCGGTCGCCACATTCCGGCCAGAACGCCGAAGCAGATCTTGACCGCCGGGGCAATCTTCCAAGAGAGTCTCGATCGGCCACCGATAGAGAGGACCTCGTCGCGCTCGCGGCGGGCGTCAGGAGCGCGAAGGACTTCCGGCCACGCGCCCGCGCGGACGGGACGCCGAGGGGCGCCCTTTCGACCGGGCGGGCGCCAGAGGAGATGGCGGCGGCGCTCAACCGCATGCGCCAGGACATTCAGGCGGCAGAGGGCCTCGAGTCGCGAGGAACCGCGCTCGGCGCGGCGGCCGAACGCGAGCGCGCCCGCGACGCCGTCGTCGATAGGGGGGGCTGGGCCAGAACGCGCCCTGGCCAACGCGGCGCGGCGCGGGAGATGATGGGCCAGTGAGCGGAGCGGCTGGCGGGCCGCTGCACGCGCGCAGAGCAGTGAAGCGCACGGTGCACGACGCGCCCCCAGCCAGGTACATTTTTGCGCATGCATGCTATAATGCATGGACAGAGGGGGCGGACGTCGGCGGGAGGCGAGATGATTTGTTTCCCAAGCTGTGTCGCTTGCACGTCCAGCGGGCAGCCCCCCCCAGAGAAAATCGCCGCGTCGCCGCGTCGGACGCGCCCCGTTTCGGCGTCACTTCCACCGCGGTCCACGCCTCAGCACTTGCCCGGAAGATGGGCAGTCTTGCAGGGTGGCGATCCCGCCAGCGCGCGGAGACCGCGCCCAGGGCGTGCGCCACGCGCCGCGCCGACGCCGATAGCGTGAGCCCGCGGCGCCCGGCGGCGCTGGGGCGCCACCGCCAGGCGCGCGGGCCTCCGATGAAGGTTTCGAAGAGATGCCGCGGCCGCGCGGCGGCGGCGGCGCCCGCGGCCGCGCGGGCCCCCCGACGAGGGTTGCGTCTGCCGCGGCGGCAGCGGCGCCCGCGGCCTCGGGTCGATTATTTTTACCCACGCGGCTTCGTCGCCGCACGTGCTTTTCGTTGAGCGCCCTGGCACGGCCGGCCAGCGCGAGGCCCGCACGGTTGCCGAGCGCGCACGGCAGCTTCTCGCAACCATGGCGAGGCGGCGTCGCGCGTCTCATTCCCCCGCGCGGCACCGCCACCGCCCCCAGACCCCCCAGTTGCGCCGACAGGCTGCCGTGGATCCGCGACGGCAACGGGGCCGCTTCATTTCCCCGCCGCAGGAGGCCGCGGCCCCACTCCCCCGTTGGCCCCCTGCGCTGGCCGCGCCGCGTGGTGCCCGGGCAGGGCGCCGACGCCCAGGAGGCGCGGGGATGTTGCACCCGTCGGGGGCACTCTAACCGGAAGGCTGCGGCGCTGCTGCTGGCGTGGCACTATTTGCCGATTGTCTCAACTGCTTGATGTTCTTGGCGGGCAGTCGCCCCGCGCGCGCGGCGGGCGCACGCGTTGTTCACGGCCGCCTCCTCGCGCGGCACGACCGCGCGTCTTCGCGCACTATTTGTTTTGCTCGTCTTCTATGTTTAACTTCCCATTGTTGGTAGTGGAGGCGGCC